TTTATTCTATTTACTTCCCGAACAAATATGCAAATGCATAAAGTCCCGAGCCCTGATCATAAGTATTATGAAAAATATTTTTTGTGTTTTTGCATTTCATAAGTTTTGTGGAAAAATATTTTAATTATTATTGCATTTCAATTTTTATTTTTAATTATTAAGTTTTGCGAAAAATATTTTTATTATTTTTGCATTTCAATTTTCTGATCTTTTTGCACATTGTTTTCTTTGTGATCTTTTATTGATATAATATTATGAGCGGCACCTTAAAGGTGCTGCGCCAGGATTGGCATATATTAACTACTGGTGTGTTCATACAATCGGCTCTCATTGGCTGTATTCTGCTTTAGGGACATGGATGTGCTCATTACTCTTGATTGAGAATATTCTAAATTATGTCATATTTACTATGAAAACGTATTGGAATATTTGTCATATATATTATATTTCCTATAACGATAAGCAAATATATGGCGGAAGCTGCTTGGCTGTAACGTTTAAAATATATATAAATTGTTTAAACAATTTTCTTGGAATATTTCTAAAATCTGTATTTTCTAATGTTTCTAAATGTTTTCTAAAATGCATGAAATTTTATATAAAATATGTGAAATATCATTGTATTTGTATATAAATTGTATACAAAAAAGCACTCAAAATTCGATGTAAAAAAATCAAATATTGATGTAAAAATGTTAAAATAAGCTAGTTTTAAGATTATGTAAAAAAACTGACTGCGCCAGAACATACACAATATATCTACTGTATATTGATTTTAATACTAATCTTAGATCAGAAGCTAAGAATGATTTTGAAAAAGAATATTTCAAATTAATGAATAGTGTTTATGGACGTACTATGATGAATGTTCGAAAACATGTTGATATAAGATTATGTTCTAAAGATGAGTTCAATGGAAAAATTATGACAGAATTTATAGGTTTAAGATCTAAATTATATTTACATCGAGTCTTAGATACTGAAAAAGAAATTAAAAAAGCTAAAGGTGTTAAAAAAAATGTTGTGGAAAATAAAATATGTTTTAATGATTTTGAAAAATGTTTACTAACAAAAAAATCAAAATATGTTAAACAAAATTTATTTAGAACTAAGAAACATGATATTTTTACTGTAGAACAAAACAAAAAAGCTTTAAGTGTTTATGATGATAAAAGATTTATTTCGGAAAATGGTATTGATACATTAGCTTGGGGGCATTATAAAACAAATATAGATAGAAATGATTTTGTAAAACATCTCCATTCACTAATTAGAAATCAAAATCAAAAAGATTAGAAAAATATTTTTATGAAATATTGCATTTCGATTTTTAATTATTAATAATATAAGTTTTATGAAAAGTATTTTTACTATTATTGCATTTCATAAGTTTTGAGAAAAATATTTTTTAATTATTATTGCATTTCAATTTTTTATTTTTAATAGAACAATTCTACTAAAAAATATTTTAATTATTATTTAAAAACTCTATAAGATGCTTTATTTGATATCTAAAATCGCGGCCGGAATAACCGGTCACGATTTTATTATCATTATTATTTATAAACTCTGACGTTCCCCTTTTTTTAGGCGAACGTCAGATTTTATGTAAAAGCCCATAAACTCTAATAAATTCTCACTTATTAATATTTCTTTTTTTAATTATTAATATCATAAGTATTATAAAAAATATTTTAATTATTATTGCATTTCGATTTTTATTTTTAATAGAACAATTCTATTAAGAAATATTTTGATTATAACTGCATTTCGATTTTAATTATTGTAATGACGTTTAATTATATGAAATGGTCTGTTGTGACACCAACACTGACTCTACCTGCTACGTGTGCGAGTCCCGCATACGAGCTGGTCGTCATAGATAATATAAGAATGGATAGGACATGCCTATACCAGTTCCATATGAGGCCGTGTGCATTTTTGGGGAAGAGAGAAAGACGATATGATGCTTTTTAAGGTTATGTGCAAAACTATTTTATTAAATAACTATCGGCCAAAACCCGGCTCCGCTGGCTTGTTTTTATTTATAATAATACCCCCTCGATTATGAAATATATACTCAATTTTATTTGTTCAATTATACCCCCCTCACAATCGCTATAGTTCATGTTGATGGAATATTGGTTTTATGTGCCATTTCATAATGTTCAAAAAAAATATCTCAAACATATAAATAAACACACTAAATATACAAATTAAAAAAATATTAATTATAACAGTATGTATATGCACAAGATATAATAAACATATATTCAAATTAACAAATAAAATAAATTAATAACGGAGGTTATCGGTGAGTAAAAAAAAATTTTTTATTTCTTTCCATAAATAGAAATATGAAAATATTATTTTAACCCAAAATTACAAAATTATTTATATTATAGTCATTTGAAGAAAATCGACACATCTATTTTGACGATTTCGAACAACATGGCTGTTCGTTGTCTTCAATCTCGTCTTTTTTCCTTTTAATTGTATTATTTTTATTAATATTTTCTTGAGATAATAACCATGTTTCAAACCAATGTAAGCAACAGCAATTTAAATACATTTTGAATAATATAGTGAATAAAAGTGTCATTTACTTTTCTTTTTCATTTATTGAACCGTATGTGATGACAGATGTAGGCAATAATCCAATATATTTATTATTCGAAAATTCATTTGTTCTTCCTCGTTCTATTTTAATAATACTTCCACTTTCTCCCACAAAATTTACAGCTTCTTCGTTCCATACCGTCAGGATTATCTGTGAAATAATTTCATTATCATTATTTTGTTTTCATTTAATAACGATATATCTATAATATTCCAATTTAATACTGTTTCTTTTGAGGAGTCAGCCAATAGTATATCTCTTTTAGTAAAGTTTTTATTGTTTTTTTGTGAAAATACAGGAATTACTTCATTTACTTCAATGACTTCAGCTATAATATCTGTAAATATAATAATAAAAAAAAATTATAAATAATATAAAATATTATACGATTTGGTTTATTATTTTTATATACTTCTTACTTATTATTGTTCCAATTTCCATATTTTTTATAATTTGTATTGTGTTGAAAAATTCCATTTCGATTCCTGGGTCTTCATTATGATTAGTGAATCTAAAAAGAACCATTCTTTTAAATTATATAACAAATTATTTTTTAATATATTTACATTTCTACTTCTAGAATATTCGGATTTATTTGTATTATGGAATGAGCTGTTAATGAAAGATTTTTTTCATAGTGATATTCTCCGATTTTGACATTTTTTATTGATACACAATATCATTTTTTTTTGCTTTAAATTCGTCAATGTTTTCGTTCCATAAGTTCAAAACAATCTATAATTTTAAATTAAGTTTAATTTAATTTATAAATAATCAAAGTATAAATCCTTTATACTTTATTATCTTTATTGTCAACTAAAATTATTTCTCTTTTCTCAAATTCCTTATGAATTGTGCTAATTTTTTCGGTTTTTTTGATGTCATAGATTTTGGCGATAATATCTGAATGAACAATGAATGTTTATTATCAATTATTAATTCACAATGTCTCTCATAAACTTACCAATTATGGTATTTATTGGACTATTGTATATTGATTTGAATTTTTTGAAATCATATGTTTTCTGATCTTGACTTGAAGAGTTTCTAAATTCATTTTCATTGATATATTTTCCTTCTTTGCTATACCATTTTTCGAGACTGAAATGATCGTAAATTTGTTATTAATTGTTATTTATTTATAGTCTTTTTTACTTACTCTTTTTGTTCTGGTATTTTAAGGTTTATAATAACAATAGTTGAACGAACTAAATTTAAGTTTTTAATGTTATTAAATTCATTAATTTTGATATTATTCATAGCAATAATATCACCTTTTTCTCCTTCAAAATCATTTATTTGATCTGACCATAATGTTAATGATATCTGTAAAATTTTATCAGTATTATTCCATAAAGTATACATTTATGTTATTTTATTTGTATATCTTAATTAACATCACCTTAGATTGTGAATCATCAATAAGAATTATATCTTGTCTCTTTAATTGTAATCCATTTTTTGTTGATATTTTTATTCCTTTTATACTTTTGATGATCGCTATAATATCTGAAATGGGGAAATAACGATTCGTCTGTTCTTTTTTTATATTTTTGAAAATTATATTTGAAATACCTGTTAAAGAATTGCTTTTTATATTAGCTAGATCTTTTATTTTAATAAAATTGAAATCAATTTTTGGTATATTTTCATCTTCTTTCGATTCTATAATTTTAGAGTTTTCTGTTAAGATTATTTCAAATTCATGATCTAAATCATTAAACTTTGTATTTGTTTTTTTCACGAAACCGTTAGTTATAGTGTATATTTTTTACACTTGGACTGTTACATACTCATTACTACGTTTTTGTAACACAATATCGCGTTTTGAAAATTCATTCCCATTAATTATAGCAGCTACTTCATTTACAACTGGTAAATTAAAACGTCTTTCTTGTTCACTTGAAGGTATTTTGTTGGCACGAAGTACAATTTGGCATTCGTCACTCGGCATATTGTCTAATGATGTTTTGAAAAGTTTTATTAATGCGTTGTGTTCATTTAGAAAATTTTGTAAAGATTGAACTATTTCGTGTTGCACATTGGGAACGATCGAACATCTACGTTGTGATTGTATATCATCATTACCAATAAAATATATTTGTAAAAATGATGATTCACAATCATATGGAAGAAGAGATCCTATTCTGTGATAAATTTGTCCTTGAATTTTGAATGTAGTTTGAAAACCCGACTCTTTCTTTCTGTTCGCACCAAATGAAGTCATGTTGAAACACGAATTATATTTCCTAATATTACTTAGAAAATGTTTTGATTCAATTGTTGTTCCAGATAGATACGTTGATAATGGCTCTTCGGGAATAGTCAAATCAGGCAAATTTACCTTCCCCTTTCCACAACACATGTTATCAGATTCATCTTAAAATTTTAACGCTTTGCAAAACTTACATTCAATATCCATAAGACCAATAGAAATACGATGATCGTTATTAAATACGTCACTACAATCATAATTAAATGCTTTCATTTCTAAATTTTTTTTCATTTTGGACTTTCTTCTTTCTGTACGTTGACTCATTTGTTTCTGATTTGATGATGATTTTTTTGTTTCTTCTATTATATCATCTTCAACTTGATGTGTTTTCTTGAGTTTTTTCTGTCTTTTATTTAGTAAAGAATTTTTTCCAATATTTTGTTTTCTTTTAGGCATATTCAACTATTTTTTTTAATGATTACAAATTCAAGAAAGATTGGTGATTTATTTTTTCTAAAAAAAATGAATTGTTACTGTTATTTTGTTGCTATGGCAATTATAAATTATAATTTGACCTTTAATTGGCCACTCTTTATTTTTCTTTTATAAACCAATGAATTTACACTTCTGACTCCCTGGTGATCGTTAAAAAATACCTAGGCCATTTTTGACTTCAGACTGATACTTATGAGCTCAAACTGAATATCTATGTTGAATTTCAAGAAAATCTGAGTAGTAGTTTTCAAGAAACTGCGTTATTCGAGAAATGGCCACTTTTTTTTATTATATAGATAATAATAACATGATAGTTAGTTATATTTAGATATTTGTCAGTTTGTATTTTGATTGTTGTGCCACCTGTGCCTGGCAAATGGAAATTGGAAAATAATATTTTAACAAAATGAAATTATATAAATTTTATTTATTATTATTTATCAATTATCATATCAATATTTGCTAGGTATCTCGTTGTGTAATATTCTAGATTAAGGAAATTTATTAGCTTCCAGTAGGAGTCTGTAACTTTTAGTTTGCCTAGGAATTTGTAATAAAGTCCTTCCGTGTTGTTGAAATATGTTATTGCGGCTACATCCACGGGTGGAAAATTCTGAAATTCCGACATCTTTGTTTGTACGAATATTGAAGTGACAAGCAGCTAAACAATGATTATTGTAGAATTGTTCATTTTCAATTTTCTGTAAACAGTGATGGATTATCATTAGTATCATTCATAGAATGGTTTTAATAGGTTTGGATGAACCTTTTGCCTCTTTGCCTTTTTCTTTATTGTTGCGTTTTTATTGATAGGGTCAACTTCTTAAACTTCAAAAGGGCCTAACCATTTTGGAGTTAATTTATTGATTGAGGTTTTGTCTTGTAGCAGAACCTTCTGTCCTACCTCAAAGATCCTGTTATTGGCATTTTTATCATTTTTATCATATTGAACTTTTGATTTATGTTTAGCTTCAATCAAATGCTTTTTAGCTATTGCATGTGATCCTTGCAATTGCTTCTTGATTTCGAACTGGTAATCCTCGTAGTTATATCGAGGTTCTGGTTCTTTTAATAAGGATGAGGGGATTGTAACTGGATTCCCATATACCAATTCGTAAGGTTGATATTTAGTTACTGAATGAACTGTGGAATTGTGACAGAACATTGCATATGGAATTTTCACATCCCAATTCAATGGATCCTTGTCAATAAAATTTCGGAGATATTCTCCCAGAGTATGGTGACTTCTTTCTAGAGAACGATTACTCTGAGGGTGGTACGGGGTTTTTGAAGTCTGTTTTATCTTAAGAAGGTTGCAGACTTCCTTGAAAACTTTGCTTAGAAACTTTGTACCACAATCGGTTACAAGGCTCTGTGGTAGACCATGCAAACACACGAACTGCGTTACAAAGTGATGTGCTACAGTATTAGCTTCGTGGTTTTCCATTGGAGCTGATCACGCGAATTTCGTTAAGTCATCTAGTAGCGTTAGGACAAAAGAATTCCCTTTATGGATCTTGGTAAATGTCCCACTACATCCAAAAATATCTTCTCGAATGGTCGGCTAGAAGTAGTTGTGATCATCATAGGCTCTTTCAATGGTTTATTTCCTATTTTGTTTTTTGACATATAGGACATTTCTTAATAAAATAAATAATTTGTTTCCTCATCCCCTTCCAGTGACACTGGGCATATATTCTGTTAAAAGTCCTAGTTACTCCTTGATGACCTCCTAGTGGTGTATCATGGAATTCGTATATTTATTGGAGTTTCTCATTTTCGGACAATTCCTCCTTAGTATAGACGCTTACATAGATTGTAGTATTTTTAAAAATGTAACGAAGCATTTTGCGGATTCCCTCATATTTGATTCCATCCAGTCCACATCCTATTCTAGGACAAGCGAGTTTGGTGATTTGCTTTTCTTCACAAAGTAACTTTAGTCTTTGTAAACAATTAAATATTGACTGATAGGTTGGTTTCCGCCAACTATGTAACTTTGTTATTAAGTGGAAAATTGTTCGGTCCTCTACACGTAAAAATATAAAATTCTCAAGTGATTTGTATTGTTGGCGTAGTTGTTGTATTTGTCCAAATCTTCGTCTAAATTAGAGGGCTATGTCTCTAGACATTTTGAGATCTGCGGAAACATAGTGCGCCAGAGAGGTGTCGGATGATGTACTAAAGATGTCGACTGCTATCTCAGTAACATTAGACGTAGGTGAGTCATCTGAATTTAAAAATATCTGATACGATTCTGTTTTATTTGATGATTCTAAAGTGTCTGAAGATTCTGTAGTGTCTGTAGATTTTTGACTCTCTGTGGATTCTGTAGTATTTGTAGGTTTCGGAATTTCTGTAGATTATGTATTCTATGAAGATTCTGGGATTTGTTCATTTTTCAATGTTTATGCTCTAGTTGTGACTCTGGTTCTGCTCAATGCATCGGCATTTGTATTGTTCCATCCTGGCTTATATTGAATCTGATACTGGTATTCTTCTAGCTTAAGCCTCTATCGGGTTAATCGTGACCCAGGATTCTTGACATTGAAAAGCCAAGTTAATGCTCGGTGATCAGTGATAATGTTGAACTCCTGGCCCAGTAAATAGGGTCGAAATTGTTTAACTCCCCAGATTATGGTGCACACTTCCTTTTCTGTTGTGCTATAATTTTGCTCTGCCTTATTTAATGTTCGTGAGGGATATGCGATTGGGAGATCTTTTAAAATTGGGCCTTGTGATAACACACATCCTATTGTGTAATTACTAACGTCACATGTGAGGTTAAAATCAGGGTATTACAACCGAGGTTCATTAGTGAGGACATTTTTTAAATCTTCAAAAGTTTTTTGACAGAAAGCGGCCCACTTAAATTCAACGTCTTTTTTCAATAACGAAGTGAGTGGTTTCGCAATTTTCCCGTAATCAGGTATGAATCTTCTGTAATATCCTGATAAGCCAAGGAAGGATTTTATATCCTTGCTGTTCTTTGGGATTGGGTAATCCATTACACATTGAACTTCCTGTGAGTCTAGACTCACTCCCTGATCCGTAATTACATGTCCTAAGTAATTCACTTCTTTCCTCATAAATTCACATTTTGTTGGTTGAAGTTTCAGGTTGAACTGCCTTAATCTTTCAAACATTTCTTGAAGTTCCTTCGAATGATCTGGAATATCTCGAGCGTATATTATGATATCGTCTAGATATACAAAGGTTTTTAATCCATTTAACCCTGTTAAAACTGTATTCATCAGTCTCTGGAATGTGGCGGGTGCTCGTTTTAATCCGAATGGAACACGTTGGAATTCAAAGTGTCCTCGCTCGGTGGAAAATGCTGTCCTTTCCTTATGATCTGGATGCATCTTTACTTGGTGATAAGTATACCCCATGGTCTTCACTAGCTGATCGCTAATGTCCCTTAAATGATAGATGATTTCTTCATATACTATCACTTCGCCTCTGAGTGTACTAATTTTGATCAAATTTAAATCACTCCAGGAATCGACTAGGAATTTTACGTTCGGATTGATGGTCTGAAATGTTCTGCATGTTAAGTGATGATCTGTCAATTTAGAAATTATTGGGTATGCTCTGCAAAATATATCGCGGCTATTTTGATGTTCCCCACCCTCCGCCAGAAGGGACCTGTTGTTGGGAGTTTTCCACCTGTTTATTGTCAGCATCATTTCTTTTTGATTGTACATACTTCAATTTTCGGCACACCTCTTTCGTATGCCCGGGCTTCTTACAATACTGGCAGGTCACCGTGCTAACTGTAGCGACTGGTGCTGGAGTAGTATTCTGTTTGGTTTACTTGTTGTCTGCTTTTGCATATCGACAATCTCGTGCCCAATGCCCAGGATTTTTGCAAACATTACATACTCCTGGTTGGGTTTTTGAGGTTTCTGCTGGCTTATATAATTTTTTGGATTCCTCTGATGATTTCTTTACTATTTCTTCTTCCCGAGCCGCTTGAATGGCGTTAAAAAGAGAATCTGGATGTCTGGCTTTTATATAATTTTTTAAATCTCCTAAACCTTCAATAAATACCTGTAAGGCTTGTCTTTTTAATGTTCTCTCGAGTGCTTGTGCTACCTCGATTGTACATCCCATGGTTTCTTGTTCAATAATTGTATTTTGAAGAGCCTCTACTTCCTTTTAATAAGTAAATATATCCATTCCTGTTTTTTGTTTTGTAGCATATAAAGACTGATACAAGTGTTGGGTAGTTCTTTGGGGTTCTAAATTTTATTTTAGAAGATCCCTTAATTCTTCCCAAGACTCAAAGTTCTGATATTTTACTACCTGTCGGGCCTTTCCCGCTAATCTGGTTTGAATTGCTTGTACCAACCGTGGAATAGCTGTAGGCACCGTACAAGGTACAGCAAAGTCACATTTGTCCAGGAATACTTCCATTGCTCAGTGTTCTCACCATCAAGTAATTTTGGCAATAGCCTGATTGCGTCTTGTAGTTGAAGTGTAGTCCACCGTCGTATGGCATTCAAATATTAGAAGTTGGTGTCAAATGAAAAACACAAAGATTTAGTAGAAATAGAATTACTAATTTACTACATTAAACACTATTGAAAAGATTATATTGAATACTGATTTCACACTAATATAAGAGGTTCTGATTAAAAAACTAAATGATGCTCTGTTATAAGACTTAAAAGATGCTATGACGAGGGTGTTGCTCACTCTTTCGACTTTACGCGACTGCCACTCCCGACCGGGCCCGTCGCAACGGTCCGTCCGGGGGTCTTAGGTATGTGCTGACCCAGCCCTTTTGGTCACGTAGACCATCGTGGGAACCGAGATGGTCACACACTCCTTTTGCCCTGAGTCAACACATTTGTGTGTATATGCGAGCCTCCAGTATATACTATCTATATATACATACATAGTACATGCATAGTACATACATAGTACACACAATATACCACATACCCACATACACA